ATATATATATATATATATTATATAGATAGATAGATATTTTTTTTTTGTAATTGCTGCAAACGGAAAATAACAAGCCACTGCATATGTCATACAATAATATTTTTTAACGATAGCATAAAAACTTAGATAAGTGCTCATATAAATTAAAACAAAACATGTATATACTTTCTTGATCTGGAATTTTCCAATCATGATATATCTTTAAAAAAAAAAAAAAAAAAATCCACAAAGTTAATAAATGCGTGTAACGTGTTTTGTTGTAACAAGAAAACGTACACAATTACTACATCCTGGAAACTCTTCCTCATCCTGGTCGTCGGCTTGGGAGGAGCATCCTGTTCTTCAGCCAGTATCTGTTTGCCAATGTGTTTCAGCTTTAATAACTGAGGCTGAATCTGAAGTGTGTTGGGGGTTCAGGACAGGGAGGAGGTTCTACCGTCTAATGATGGAGGTACCCTCTCTGATAAACCTCACTCTGTGGGGACACATTCATATGTTATGTTAAGATATGCAATTGCAGGTTCATTACATCAAAAGCTTGAAAGTGCATAAGAAAAAATATGTTACTGTCAAAAACATGCATCATCTCTCTGATGCATTTTCTTGACAGTAACATATTTTTTCCCAACAGTTTCTGGCAGACAGAATCCCTATTCAATTAAAGCACAGGGTTACCTATCTTAAAGATATAGTGGAGGATTTTCTTTTTCCAGGTGGATCATCAAAATAAGTGGTAGTTCCTAATTGTCAATCATTCTGGTGATACGTTTACGTAAGGACGTCCTACGTGCTCGTCCCGATTTTCACTTACCGGTGGTGAGTCTGACATAGTGGAAAACTCTACTACTGAAAAAATAAATCTTTTGGAAAGTAAGCTTATATGAGCGATGGAAACAGCAATTTTAAACAGCTCTCACACTTGTTTAATAGTTGTTCCCTATCTGGAGCAAGTACAGGGTTGTGCATGTGCATTTTTTTTTAACGGTGAGGGAGGGTCTTTTCAAAAATTTACGAAAATCCTCCACTATACCTTAAGAAAGCTAAGACCTGCATAATTTTAATACATGTTTTAAAAGACTTGTTTATTTCAACACGCATAGGTCTTTATTCAAATCAAACCCTGCCTCCAGTTTGCTAAAATCTTGACGTTTACTCTCCATTGTAATTTACATTTTTAATTATTTCTTTGCAATATATTTCAGCGCCATTTTAGTCAATCACTGTGACAAATTTATCAGAAAAATCTTGTTTGCCTATTTGCTTTAAAGGCTATAAGGTTTTGTGACTAGTGCCTTTAGAACATACATTTTTATGCAAAGGAGAGTAAAAAGTTCTCATCCAAGAAATTACTCCAGTAAAAGTTAAAAAGGCTATTTGCAGAGACATCAGGGCTTGATTGATCAGTCTTTGTGGGTCAAACATTAGCCCCGTCTGCAGCAATCTTGGACTTTTATGCTAATCAACTAAAGATGCCCTGAGTGATTAAGCAGATTCTTGGGATTGGATCAAACACCTAAGTAATTACCCAATGCCATGGCCTCTCATTTTAACACTAATTTAATACAACTTGGAATCAGTATCCTAATTGTTCCATTAAAACAGCATAAATTGATTATTGTCATTTTCAGTTCCATCAAACAAGATGACCAAACATATATAAAATTGGAAACTCTTGCCCTCTATGCAGTCGTTCCTCTTCATTTTGACATGTGCTTCTTCATCCGCTCGATTTCCATCTGAAACAAAGAAGGACGCAGTAACAAATGTCACAGGTCATGACCTTTAACCTTATTCCAGCAGCAACATGAACCTCTACCTGCAAAGTTAGGCGAATCCTCTTCTCTTCATCAAGCTCATTCATCAGCAGTTTAATTTCTTTGCTATTAAAGCATAAAAAGGTTAAAATGGATATTGCTCAGGTCAGAGGATTTTTAGCAGGTTCTGAGCACTTGATGAAATTGGTTGTGTCATTATTTTATTTTACTGCAAACAATTAAGGTAAAATCTGGGTGCAAATCAATTAGTAAGGTTAGAATATGTAGATGAGTGTAGAAGGTGTCTGTTCCTACTTGTGCTGACTCTTCATTAGTTCAAACCGCTCCCTGAGGTCTTTCATTTCCATCTGCAGCTGCTCTACATTTGCTTTAATGTTTTTCTCTTGGCCTCTCTGCTGGTGGTCTGAGTTGGATGCTGGAGATCCAGTTGGATGTAGTACAGCAGAGAGAGCTTTCGGCAGCAGGGTGGAGAAAGACTCCTTTGAATCGTTGTTGTCTGAAGCCTAAATGACAGAAAACGAACACATTTCCAGCTCAACAATAATCTATGAAGCATCGATGTTCCCAGTAGGTCTTACCTGAAGGACAGAACAATTTTCGTTTGCTCCCTGAATGCTTTCTTGATGTGTTGAAGAATTCATCTCTTCACTGCAGATTTCTCTTTTCTTCTCAATGATTAATGTTACCTGTAGTTAAAAACTAGTTTGAGTTTTTTTTCTACACACAATGTTATGTTAATTTGCAGAAGCTGGGGTAAAGTTTTATAACAACAGTACAATCTACAAACCTACCTTTGATGTGCGGGAACTATACTCAATGAAATATAAGTTTTAACTCAGTCATTAGTGTAAAGGTTATTGGCTCCCCCAACAGGTATCATAGCATAAATGTAATGAAAACACATATGAACCTTAGGCAGAAACACAGGGCCCAATACATCTTAGCCATTTTTCTACAGTAGTAGCCATTCAAAATGTCCCTTCCCAATCAAATGCCAGCAGAATGGCAGATAACTTCGAGCCACTGCCTTCTCACTTCACTCTGACTCAACGCTTTCAATGAATTGCAGGGTTTGACCAGGAGAAGGTGCTTCTCTTTAGATCTTAATGTCCACAAATCATGACAGAAAGAATATTTTAGAACAAAGATTGATGTTTAAAAAAGGAATCTCACAGGACCAGCCGAGGGCCCATCAAGGAAAGTGGGGAAATTTTGAATAGCTACTAGTGTAAATTGCAAAAACAACAGAATATAATTTCAAAGATTATATTCATAATTTCATTAATTCAACATATATTCATAATACAATAACTAAACTTTATCGATCTTATATTGGAGAAATTTACATCTGCATTTAACCCATCCCCTTGGGGAACAGTGGGCTGCCATTGTGGGGCGCCAAGGGAGCATTGTGGGATTAAGGGTCTTGCTCAGGAACCCAGAGCGGTAGTCTGTGGGAGTTGAGTGTGAAGGATAATACCTTGTTCTACTCTTGTGAATCTGCTTTCACTTCAATCTCTCAAAAAAAGAGAAAGAAAATAATCCCCGGGTTCACCCCATAAAATTTTTTTCAGTGTGACACGTAGGCCAATGCTACAAAAAACACTTAACTCTGACTGAAATATGTCTCCTGTGCTGGAAACAGACACTGCCAAAACTGTAAGTTGAGCAAGTATTTTTTTTTTTCTTGAATTAAGTGTATTTTCTCTAATTTGAGTAGGTATGTAAAAAATTGCCAATGCAATAGAATGATTTATGTTTAAAATAAGAAATAAGAACATGATGGTTTTATTTTAAGTGCATCATATCCAAATACGGTATCTTATTTTAAGGGAAGAAACACTCCTTTCTTTGATTGATCATCTTATAATCCTGCTCAAATTAAAGACAAATGCCCCTGATTGTTAGAAATGTGTAATTATTTAAATCAGTGTTTTTCAGTTTAATTCTAAATAACTGTCTTATGATGATATGCTGGCATAAGAGACTATAATTTATTCATCCCTTGGACCAGTTCAGTTTTCGCCTTTCCAATTCACTTTACGATTATTCAGAAATTACCGTTAGTTTTAAGCTCCAGCCATATTAAGCTACTATTTGTTAGATTAGGAGTCTGGACTCTGGAGCCTTGGTTTTGTGGCTATCTCAATATACCAATAATGCAGTCTTGCCATGTTTATTTTTTTTATTTATTCATTTTGTTATATGAGTTCTCCCTCCGGTGCCAAAACAGGAACACACACTCAGACACTTCAAAATTGTGTCAGGAGGCGATGCTCGACAAAACCCACTCAGTGATGCCACAACACCAAGGGTACCTGGCATGCCTGAATGCAGATGGTTTTTGCATTTTTTAAGAAATATATTATTTAACAAATGCATAACCTTTTGAATGTAAAATGTTAGTTCCAACATAGAGAATGTTGATCTTAATTTCACTATAAGTAAAACCAGAAACATACAGCAGCTTTTTACCCCTGTTTAACATGTTGCTTGGTTACTTTGCTCTAAGATGCAAAAGGTTGGTACAAGAGTGGTTTAGACCCATATAACATATTTTGTAGTACACCAATACAGTATGCTGATAAATATACTGACAACAGCTTTTCAGATGAAAACTCTGACACAAATAAAGGCCAATTTGTGTCGTAAAATAGTCAGAAAATTTCAACCGTTTTGGAGCAATCCTCATCATAAAACAAGATCACCTGTACTTTGCTAAACTCCACTTGAATAAGAGCTGCAACTGGTTATCTAATCAGAGCAGAAAAATCTACAAGTTTTTTTGACTGTTTATACAGTTTATCTTGAAAGATCAACGAAACGGGAAGGCCAGGGATCCTTCTCTCTGTCTGCTTTAATTTCTTCGATCCATCTATCCATCTTCTGACAAGCTTAATCCCAAGTGGGGTCGCAAGGGGTGCAGGTGCATATCTCCAGCTTAATACAGGTGAGAGGCGGGGTACACCCTGGACAGGTCGCCAGTACATCGCAGGGTAACACAGAGACAAACAGGACAAACAACCATGCACATACACACACACCTAAGAATTTTGAGAAGCCAGTTAACCTAACAGGAAGCTGGGAACCCACAACCCTGTTGCTGCAAGGCAGCCCGCTTTTTTTTTGTTTTTCAATATATTACTTGCAAAAAAGGTTCCATTACCTGTAGAGGTGCAAGTGTGGAGAATCTCTGCAAACACTTCCTAATGTCTGACATTTCCCTTACAGAATAATTACACCTAAAGTTTATATTTCATGCAGTTTTACTAAGATTCTGCTGCAATAAAAAATATATATTTGTTTTTTTCCAAATATATTATTTAATAACTTTAAAATGAAGAACTGTGATTTTAATCCTAATGAAATAATCACCCTTATAAAAGAGCTCATCAGCTACTGAGAACTATCAACCTTTATTACAAGGAGTCAGTGTAGATATCTTCAGCTGCAGCACATGCCTGTGTGTGTAAGGGCCAGCTCAGGAAAGTTAAATTTATCCCAAGGACAGCGGGAACACAGATAACACCACGCACACTTTTCTAAAAGGGCTCCAAGTTATGGGAGAGGTGCTTCAGTGCAATGCAAAGACTTGGCTTCATTTTATACTTCCCAGAGACTGAAGCTCTGACTGTAAGGCCTCCTCTGCTGCAGGAGCTCTCTGCTCACTCAGGCTCTCCCATACAATTGAATCAAACTCGTCTGTGTCTTTAAGAGAAACAGAAAACAAATAATAAAGCTGTCCTTAAAGGGAGAGGATTTCTAAAGTTTCACATTCTATAGTTACAGAGCTTACCCGGAATGAGGGCTGAGTTATAGCTGCCCATCTTATCAGAGCTGAACACAAGCAGAGAAAAACCTGCCTGGGCTAAATCTATAAACAAGATTGAAAAGTAAGATTCAGAAATTGGTGCAGGTTCAATCACTCACAGAAACAGACATTGTTTCCTGTCACCAAAAGAATAAATAACTATTTGGGAACTTTAGTTCCTCACATTAGCAGAAGCTGAAGGCCACATGTTAAAGCAGCTGTTAATCAGATCCAAAGGTTGAACAGATGAGCAGCATACGCTGGTTAAGATGCATTAAATTTCTAATTCAACAAAACAATCTGTGAGAAGTAAAGAGCCTGGAGCACTCACCTTGTTTTTACACTGCCACGTCTGATAAACAGCAGCATCTGAGGTAACTCGATCCCATCTTTTGTAATGGGCTGCATGTTGTAATGAGGAGTGGTGCTCTCACAGCTAAGTTTAGAGCAGGACAACAAATATTATGGGGTAGTGTTTTAGGAGTAATGGCTGTCACAACCTGAGCAGCTGATTCGGATGGAATTTGATGATTTATTTAAGGCCCTCAGGATGATTTTATTTCCTAAAACATTTAGGAAGATATTTCTTGTGATACTAGAATGGACCAATATGAAATTCTCTTTTTCAAGGATGTTTAGAAAGTGGAAAAAGTTTGAGAGCTTGCAAAAGCAACAAAGTATATTTATTGATTACTTTGTGGCAACGGATTCAATACCCTAGTGAGATGAGTAGAACCAAGACAGTCCCCTTTTTAATTAAGAAATATAGCTGTCCTAAATTTTTTGTGCAATTTCTATGCTGTTTTTTTTTAGTTTTTTTTTTTAAACAGGTGGTGTAGAATTTGTAGCAGTGTGGTACTATGCATAAATACATCAGGTGGTTTTCTTAAAAAGATTCTTTAAAATTATACAGAAATGTACCATTAAAAAAATTAGATCTGTATTTTTGAATATTCAAGAAGTACATGAATTTAAAAGTTAACTATTGTCAAAAGTGATTACCTCAATACTTGTAAGTAGATGTTTTACCAAGTAACATTTAACTGAGTAAGATTTGATTTTGAGTGTTAATTTTATTCAAGTACTATTGTTGAGTACTTCGTCCACCTCCATGGACAATCCTGTGCATATTTACATCGGTGACCAAGGGGTCCCCAGACAACCGTCCTCAATCTGCACAACTGGAACCTGGATTCATCCGTGGACATCAATTCTCCAGCGTGCCATGGGCCAATAGACATGTTTCCCATGCGTGTCGGTTCCTACGCCAGACAACAGTCAGATCCAGACCACAGTTGTGTGTGGCGATCTTGTTAAAACTTACTTTTAAACTGCCTATTGCCATTGAGCCGTGCTGCTACTGCTCTGGTGGACATCTCTGCAAGCAATGGCAGCAGCTGCATCACTTGTGTGAAAATGTGACATTTTGTGTTGGCCTTTATTCCCCAGTCCAAGAATCCTCCAGCTGTTGCTCATTTTGTCTGAATACCTAATGGACATATCCCACCTATGCATAGAGTTAAAAAAAAAAACTCAGAGTAATGCTTACTGAAATAAAGTTGGATTAAAAATCATACACAAATCAAGAATATATTATTTTGTATAATTCAATGTCATTTACAGTTAACTCCTCATAGCAACAATGCTTCGGTTCAGTGTGAATAAGTCTAAGCAATTTTGTGTGTAGTAAAGGGCAGACAACATTAGACTGCACTGAATACTTCAAGATAAGGTTTATATAAAAGCATTTATTTTTAAACACAAAACATGCTTTTCAAACAAGGAGTGAACAGCACCCACATCAATCTTTTTTTTTTTTTTTTTTTTTTTAAACAAAGCAATAGTGATCTCTACAGTTCATATAAAACAAATTTTAAGTCTTAAAAAAAAAAAAAAAAAGATTTGAGTTATATTTCAGATTTTTTTAATCATAAGTAGCCCGCTGACAGTACGGTACAAGCCTATAAAGACACGTATTAAAGAAAATGTCTGATTGCTTCTTGTAAACAAAAGAAAACACTAGCATATCTTAAGTAAAACCAGCACTGACAACTTTTAAAGCAACTTCTCCCAAACCAGTGTCCAAAAATAAGATGCTCTTACAATTAGAAACTTTCTAAAAATAGATACACTAAAGGTTAAATAAAGCAATTGAAACACCAAGGACCACATCGTAGGGGGAACACCTTGACAACATACAAGCTGCTCAGGTTTGGGAAATCCATCTTGGCAGGTTTTAGTGTTTCCCAGCTTTTACATTCACAATTTTACACCTGTGTGAAAACAAAGAACAAAACAGCTCATCTGAGTACAATTATGAGGAACATGTATATCTTCCCTACTCTAAATAGTTTAACACCAATAACGAGGCAGGTAAAAGTATTAAAGTATAACATTTGTATAGCTTACCAGAGTTTATCACTAGCGTTGGATGGGTCCTCTGTTGTACGGAGCTCGCTGGCGCATCACCCTCATGTTTCGGTATTTAGACACGATGCTGTAGCTTTTTCTGAACACTGGTCTCTGATATGGAAACGGGCGAGGAACTATGGTCTCCTTTGAAAACAAGAAATTTTTAGTATTTTTTTTAAGAGATTTATCTACTGCCAAAGATGTGCTAACAGTAGAGCCACATACCATCAGAGGTCTTCTGACATTTTCTGACAGGTCTGGGCCTGTGCTCCTCGAACCAGGAAACCTTGGCCGCTGTAACGTATTGACAGAAGGTGAACACAAAGTCATACGTTCTGGAGTCTGTTTCACAAAGCAGGTTTACTGAAAACTAAGTTTTCTAAACCTGAAATCAGGGAAACTGAGTTTTCCATTTCAGAGTTCCCTCAACCTCTATTTCAGTGACTGCAGTAACATTCTCCCCAGACCTAACCTGGTTGTCAGCAGGTTTTATTGTCCTCCGTCTCCACTCTCCTTACAGCCAATCGCATTTTTTTCTTGATTTAGTCAGATTTTTGTTGTAGTTTTGTATTTTACTAAGAAGAAATATATTTAAGATATAAATACATATTCAGTTAAGCTGATAAATGTCAAAACTGCCATGTAAAATGTGTAAACATTTCTAGGTATATAAAACCTAATTCTTACTAGTATAATTTTGTTTTTTGCATTCTGAAATTTGGTTTCCACTGCAAAAATTTCATTTAGAAAATATATTTGTTAGGTCAAGGAGTGTAATTTTGATATTATTTTAGTGATCTGCAAATGGCATGACAGATAAAAAAAAAAATGTAAAAACAGCCTGCCATAACACACTACATTTAAAGCTATGCATGAACTCCAGCAACCATCTCCACCATCTTTCTCTCCTTTCTTTCCTTCAAAACACATTCCCCTATTACTTATTTTTTCCAATTCTTCATTTAAATCTCTAGTTTCAGTGGGTTGCCATGGGCACTTCCTGATGCCTGTTGTCATGGTGACTCGTCAAATCGGGGCTCCACTGATAATGGCTTTTCATACTTGCTACATACGTGTCCAACTCTGAGTGGACCTACTAAGAGTTGATTAAACGATTTCATAGCAGCCCTTGTGAAGCTGAAAACTCAACTTTAGGCTATATCAATCTAGTGTTGAGGATTTTAGTCAGAGTTTGTTAAACCTGCTTCATGAAACGGACCCCTGCTCTCAGATTTTGATCTCTTTCATCCTCAACACTGTAAATTTATTCCGTTACTATATTTAGCAACTGTTTCAGACCCATTCGTTTTTATACTGTCACACTTAAATTTTCACTAATTGTTTCACAATATTGATACACCATATTGATAAGTATAAATTAAAGCAGTAGTATCCATAAACCCTTAATGATACCCAATCCATAGTCATTCGATTCCTCAAACAAATTAAACATGCCTACATCAATGCATGTATAGTTTTATCCTACATTTACGTACTTGCATTGGTCCTGGTCTCCTGAAAGGCAGCCGTGGAGGTCTGCTGCCGTCATGCATCTCATTAACAGGTCTGGAAAATGATTGATGATTATAGGTTACAAATGCATAATATCATTACACTGCAATGAAATAAAAGAAAAAAAATAGAGCCTTTTAACAAAAACAACTTGTCTATACATTACACTTATAATTAATGTGTATCATAGAAAGTTTTGCACAATTGTGAAATTAAGAGGAAAAACATTTTTGCCCTTTTTTTGTTAAAAACAGAAAGGGCTCTGAGGTCAGTAGAGTGAAGAACTGGCTTTCTCTGCAGTCATAGCTTTTATTCATTTTTGTTGGTGTAAAATTAACCTGGTTTTCACACAGAATATAACATTTATTTCCCCTCTAGTTGGCAAGATGTCCGGTCAGTCTGAGCTTGGAAACATGAATTTTCAAGTCTTGCTACAGATTTAAATTAGGTTTCGGAGTCAAAGTTGAGTTGGTCGCTCTAAAACAACACCCACTGATTCACACTATTTAATTGTTATTTTAGTTGGTTTGGAGGAGTGTCCCATTAAACAAACAAAGCTTTTCATGATTAAGATAAAACATCCACACCATGCTGCTGCTGCTGCTGCTACCACCAACATGGGAATGGTGTGTTTAAGATTGTATCTTGGATCTTTTCACTGTCCCACCATATAAAGAATTCCGATTGTTCAGAATGACGCTAGTCTAAATCTGGTCAAATGAAACAGACAGATGGAAATCCAATCATTGATAAGCAAGGGTAAATGTATCTTAATTTGCAATTAAACAATAAATCAGTTTAATCAATTATTGATTATCATAAACTAATCGTCAAACAAGTATAGAGACTGGCCTTTAGCAGACAGAGCAACACACTCAGAGCAGTAATTGCATATACTAAAATTGTAAAAGAAAAACATTTTTTTTATCTATATCTCTATCCATCCATCTATCGAGAGAAAGATTTTCATTTAAGATAAAAAAAAAATAAAAAAAAGCTTTTTTTTGTAAATATACTATATTCAGAAATCCTTAAGTGGATTTCGCAAATTTCCTTAACCATTTTTCTATAGGAATAACATCCATAACACCCTTCTATTACTTTCAAATGTTGGGTCAGCAAAGTACAAGACCACTGACAAATGTTTCTATCTAAACTCTGGACCTCTGCAGCTCGTCTTGATTAAAGCGCACATCACCCATCTGTCAGTTCAGAAGGACGGCCATGTTAATACAGGCTTGCAGTTCAGCCATTTTTGTTCCAAATTTTTCCTGATCCATTGTCCGTGTTCCCTTCCCTTCATGGTGCCCTCTCCTCTCTTAAGTTCTTTAATAAATGACTATAACATAACATAACTAAAAATTAAAGTGCACACCAAGAATTATAGATTCCAACAGGCAGTCTGTTGCAGTTAACAGTGTTTAACATTGAGTAAATGCTGTAATAAACCTATGCATTCTACTCTTCAGTTTTTAACTTGAAAAGAAAAATTTTAAAGCCAGGTATCATTTACATTTTACTGTGTAATCAAGTCTCAGTAATCATACAATCAAATTTACAGTAGTATCAACACAAAGTGTGAAAAGGATGGAGGGATTGGAATACTTTCACAACACAGGAAGCATTAGGTACCTAAACACTCTTTTGTCCAAGTAGTCACGTTTTCTTTCTTCAGATGATCTGGAATCAATTGAGAGGCGTCTATGCGATGTGCTTTCCCCATCTGAACTGCGGTCTAAGTAAAAACACAAATAAAAGCAATGTTTTAAGCTTAAGACTTCACCAACCTCAGGTTTGAGTTAAAGGCATGTATATCAGATCTGAAAAAGCCTGCTGGTTATCCTCCAGATTGTATTAGAACACTTCAGATCATTTGTGGAACTGACGTACCGGTTTTGGACTTCGGGCTGGAAGCTTTTGGAGGCGAGCCGTCTTTGGACGAACTTGGTCCCGGAGGCCAGTGAGACAAAACGACGAGATCACGTTTCTCTATGGGAGAAGATCTGAGGAGGGACCAACAACCGTGCCGCTTTAACATAGACAATTATTTCCATTAAAAGCACAGGTTCCAATATTATTACTTCAACAGATTAAGTAGGTGAAAAGGAAAATGTATTACCCTGCCAGCTTTTAGATGTTATGCACAATTAATTAGAAAAGAATAGAAAGCCACACATTACTTGGGTACTTACAAAAACCCTGGAATGTCCATGCTTCTTTACTCCTATTTTGTAACCTGAACCAATCTGAGTTGTCTCCATTTATTCATCAATTGTTAGAGCAGCCAAATCCTGGTGGGACTTTAAGACACTGGACTGCTTTGTATCAAATCCTCTTCCTTTTATTTTTAAACATGGTGGGTGTTTGGACACCAAACTTCAGATGATTTCATCAGCAGCCAATCGTTGATTTCACAAGCTTTCTCTGGTAACAGATTTTATTCCAGGGGTCTTAAAAGATGCGTGCCGTTTAGCTGAAGACATCTGCAGTTTAAGGGGTGTGAGAAATCTTATTTTCTTACTCATCTGATTCTCAATGTTTGGCCACTTTACTGAAGACGTTGCAAAGCTAACATCCAATAAATGCACTCCTCTGAATGGTTGGAGTGGCTCTTCTTTCTCCTCCTCTGGAAAGCTCTATTAGGTTGAACTGTCAGGAACTGAATTGGAGCATCTTCAGCGCAGCAGGCTGATTTAGATACGTTAAGCCTGACTTGGTAATGGTTGGATTTCCATCCGTCTTCATATGTTCGTCTGAACATATTTAGGGGACAGTCCCCATGCTTGATCCCTTTGGTATCAAATCATAACACAATCCACTTGAGAGCTCCATTTTTGGTGTTCTGATATCCCCCTCCTTTTTGGGATTTTAGTTATCGCTTTGAGTTTTGGTTGTGGTCTTTTCCATGCGTTTGAAAATGGCTCATTTCTAAACAATCGACTCAGGACGATATTTGCCAAGTAATTATCCAGTTTTTAATGGTTCATGTTTGGGATGCGAGGCGGCAGACAATCCTGATGAAATTGTTGTGACCCAGAAAAGGCAGAGCCCTCATTCATGGTGTCCACACAGTGGTATGTGTTATTCCTCTTCACTTTATGTATTTTGAATGGGACCGACGTTAACGTCACACTTTTACACATCAGATGATGGAGAACTATGAGTGGACATTGGGTAACTGAATCTTCAGGGCATTTTCCTTTCACTTTGATTTCCACTTCTTTAAATATATCTTTAATTTCTCCATTAATAAGATGTATTATCGATTCAAAAATTGTATAATTGTAGTGTATAATTTCTTTCCTTTTACATAATTTATTTAGGACTTAAAAAAAAAAAGCTTTTCTGCTTGTTTAAACAACATGGGAGATAAATTCTAATGGCCACAATCGGTTAATGGTTATGAAAGCAAACTTCCTCGACTGACATTCAAATAGGGTCATTCTGCAAACTTTTCTTGCATTTTTTTTAAAGGGCTCTCTTGGTAAAAAAGCCCCATTCAACTCATTGTATTAAATGCAGATTGGTCTTCAGCCTTATGAATTTCTTTTTCCAGCAAGCCCGTTTTTGATGAGAGGGCCATGAAGAGTTGCTGGTTATCATGGGGGCAAAATAGTTTCTCTACTCAAAGCTTTATGGCTGATTGCTTTCCAGTAAATTAAAAGCTGTAGGAGGCGGTTTAGGCCAGGGTCAAGTCATCCTGAGTCCTCTTCATGAAAAGGGGAAACGGAGCACATCTATGTGATGCAAGTTTCGACTCTTTAATGATACTGTAGATTTTTTCGCAGCATGCACGGAGGCCTTTTCAGCTTTAGGCTCAGAGAGGATTAAACCCTTCTCCTTATCACATTTGCAGGACTGGCAGGCCAGCTTTAACAATGTAGCTTGTTACTGAAGATTTTTTTCATCCAAACTTGAGAGGTAGGCATTTTTTGACAAATGTAGCACGTAGTTTAGGGCAGCATTTCAGAATAATGGTGGCTTCGCATCATATTCATCGCCTGGTGCACATATAGCTCATGACATCTCCTTCCACTGCTGGCACCCTTTTTCACATATTCTTGACCTCTTAAATCATCATCATCATCATCAAGCCCCTGCGAACAGTGCTACAAGGAGAATACCATACCTGTGTTTGCTCAACGACCGGCGAGACTCCACCTGTTCTTTTCCTGTGTCAGAGTCTCTTGAAGATTTGCTGGCACTGTCGTCCTCTCTGGTTGGCGATTGTTCAGGTCTTGGCTTTCGTTGTTCCTCTTTGGGCGGAGAATCCACCTTCATCTGGAAACGTCTCTTCCTGATGGCAAGAATGGAGCTGGCATGTCCCCGTGTGGCAATTTCACCAAAACGAGGCCTTGGTCTCATTGTTGGAGGAATTCTCAGCCTCATGAGAGATGTTGCTCTAAATGGTCGGCCCCTGGTGTGGTAGCCTCTACCCCTAAAAGAAAATGGGGGCCTACCAAACAGCCTGGGGATACTCATCAGCTGAGGTCTCTCTCTCCTGGGATACTTCCCATAATAAGGCTCTGGGCCTGAAGAGGGCACGCCAATATTTGATATTCTCCTCTTGCGGGGTCCTAAATCATTCCTCTCTGGAAGGCTCTTGTAGTAGGGTGATGAGGATGGTGGTGGAGGGCCTCCTTTCCATGAGGGAGCTCTGTAAGGGGGTGGGCGAGGGGCATTTTGTGCCCTCTCTCGACTGTGGGATCTGCTGCCTTGCCTCTCCACAGGACCACGCTGTCTCCTGGAATCTTGTTCGGATGACCACCTGCATATCCATCAAACAATAGAAAAATCATTATAATGACAGATCCATTGCCATTGTAAGTGGGATGCGGAAGGTTTAATTTTTATCTTTACAGTAGGCCTCTCAGAAGCCATGACAGAATCAAACGGTAGGAGGGGTACACTTTCAGAGACCAATCACAGAAGTAATGCTCCATTTAATCCCATCCACATCAGACCCAATTTAACCCCATGTAATTAATCAATAGCAGGAGCTGGGCAGAGCTCATCATTACAACTTCTATGACTTGGAGAAGTGGCCAACTTCAAGCCTCCTCCTGTTATACTTTTACCCAGCTTGGGGTGGTGCTTCATGCTTGTACCTCTCTGTACATGGGCCTCTTCCTGGCACATCTCTGAGGCTCCTGTGTGGCCCAGAGGGACGATGCTCTCCATTGTGGGGATGAGAGAACGATGCAGGTTCATTCCAGCGCTTCATGCCATGACCTGACTGTTCATAACCTCTTTCTCTTGGATGAGGGTCTCGACTGCGGTGATCTGGAGGAGGAAAACCTGACTGCCTTCTGGGACCCCTAAAAGATCCCCGGTAAGCAGGCGCAGCGCCTGGTCTCCTGTCAGCTGGGTGGCTACGAAAGTGTCTGGGAGAAGATGACCTGGGACCTGAGGAGTGGCCATGAAAAGGTGGACCCCTTTGACTCTGGTGTATGTGTGCAGGACTGTGAGGGGGTGAGCGGTGATGAGGGGTACGGCTGAGACGCAATGGAGACTGCCTGCGCTGGCTGTGATGTTGGTCCATTTTTGAAGGGTGGGATTGGAAGGAATCCTGACTGTGTGACCTCCAGTGATTAAACCGTGGCTCCCGATGAGACGCCATGTCAGGCGTTCTTCTGCCAGCCGGTGCTGGCCGCCCTCGTCCTCTACCTCTGGATTCTCTCCAGCTAGGAGATGCTTTATTAGAGTATTCCTGGTCATCTCTTCGACTTTTAGAGTTTGGGGTGTAACTCCCTTCATTATGTCGGTGAGAATCGTCATAGGGTCTGACAGAAAACAAATAAAGAAAGTTGGCTTACAATAAAACTTTATTCTCATGCATCTTAGATAAATATTGATGATTCCTTTAAAAAAAATAATAATAAAACATTTGTAGGGTGTTACCTGGGCTTAATGCGTGATGGTCCGTAATTCGTCCGAACCATCTTTGAAAGAGAGCGTATAACCTGTGTACTGAATGGGGAAAAAAAATAAAAAATGTTTGAACAACAATAACGAACAATCATAGAGCTAATAGCAACATTAGACAAAGCACAAAAAAGGATCACATTCATAATGTTGTTTGTACCATCAATCGATTAATTGGTAATCGGAAAAAAAACTATATATATATATATATATATATATATATATATATATATATAAAATAATGTTGATTTTGTAATGTAATGTTGATTTTTTTATAGAAATTATACAGTGAGTGATTTTTTTTTCTCTGCATCTATTGAATTAATAGAGAAAAAAACAACATTATAGATAAGTATCCCACAATCCATCAGTACACACAAAAAAGAAAACACATTACCACATGGAAACCCCTCTCTTCCTGAAACAAATTCACATTCATAGTAACTGGATGTAAATAAACATTGGTCATGGAGAGCTACAGTGTAACGCTGATATACTGAAAGTTAATGAAGGTACGGTGCGGCCAAAGTAATGAACATGACATTTTAGCTAAAAAAATAAATAAGTAAAATATCACAGTTCATAAAGTAGAATTAAAAATGTAATGAATTTAATCTAAAAAAAATAAAAATCAGACAATGAATGCTTAAAAAAATCTCAATAGAAAACCACATTTTATTATCATTAAAGCCGTCACTGAGTTTATGCATAGTTTGAGGGTACAGATCATCTGCTTAGCATTGCTTCTAACCGAAACATCAACTTTAAAGGTTTCACATGATTAATCCCAGTACATTAAATTTTGAACCACGTACATTAAATTATGAACCACGTACCACGAACCATCGTACATTAACGATGAACCACGTCCCATTTAAACCCTAGGTGTTTTTCATCTCTCCCTACACCCCCCTTTAATCCCAGCCTGAAGCTGCCTTTCTTTGCCCCTTCAGACAGATTTTTTTAATGGCTTCCCACACGCTGCTGCGGTGTATCCCATTTCACGGTTTAAGCGAAGAGTCGAGGCCCAAACGAAGCTCTTACAACTACGACAGGGCATGTCCGCTTTCTAGCCTACCTGCTCCCTCCGAATTTTTAGTAAGGCTGGTCGTGAATCGAAAGGGGGAAAATACGCCAGAAATCAATGTGCTTAATATGCTGGCAGCTACTGCAATTCGATTTGCCAACGGTTACGCGGTAGTCTTACTTTCCATATTTAGCTATAGATCTCAACAGCTGTTTAAAAAAAATGGTGATTAGGTGGGGAAAAAACAACCACAGCTTGTTTCCGCTCATTATAATTTTCGACATTTTTACTTTTATATCAAAAAACGAATTATACAAACCGACGTAACGCTAAAAGCTAATGACGTCTAGCTGTAATTTTAGCTCTTGGAAGGTTGCTGCTCAAACACTCGACAAAACGGTCCTAACAGCGTTCATTAGAGTCGTTGAAATATTCGTACAAGAAGTAAAAACGCTTATCTAAAAGAAACTGCCTAATTTCCAAGCAATGAATGAGCATAAGGCGTGCAACTTACCAACTGCAAACCGATACCTACTTAACGAGCTACGTGCGACGCAAATAGCATAAGATTTAGCTCTGCATTTTAAGTGGTTGGACACTAAGCTGGACAGCGCCACCAACGCCTAGGAGGGAATTTGCGTCTTTTTCTTCTTCTATTGATTTTTAATGGCGGTTGACAAACAACATTTAGGTGCATTACCGCCACCAACAAGTAAGGAGTGTGGACCAAAACACCGTTACTAAATTCTTCTTCCCAAACCAGTGATCCACAAATATCGAAACAAAAGATTATAACTCATGTTAAAAGAATCATTTTAAAGATATTTATAATGTTTAAATGTACCTTTTCCTGTTTAAGATACCTAATCAATTCCAGTCCTTGTAATATTTCCTACAGTTATATATTAAATGTTCTATTGTCTCATTTTCCCCACAGTAATCACATCTTCCTGTTTCATGTTTTCCCATTATAAGTAATCTTGAGTTAAGTCCTGTATGCCCCAATCTTAATCTAGTTATTATCATTTCCTGAACTCTGTTACTTCCACTTTTTCATCTGATTTCTCCAGCCTTCGCTTGTATTCTATAGAACCATCTTCCTCTAATATTATCTTCCCACAGTTTTTGCCATTTGTAATTAATTTTCTTCCTGATTATGCTCTTAATTTCTGGTTTACTATTGCAACTCTAATATCGATTTCACTCCTGTTTGTAGATTCTTTTGCTTTTGAATTTGCGTCTTAATGCCAGTGTCGCAATATATTCTTTCTTTATTTTAATTATCACAAAAATAAAAATATATAAACGTATTTACTTCTTGATTAAGGAAAATAAAACCCAATTACGCACTGTTTATAATAACCACAAGGTTTACACATACTTTACAGGGAGTTCCCTTAATAAACCAATACAAGTGATGTTACAAAGAAATAAACAACGGATCAATCATTAATCTTTTTTAAATGAAAGACAAAAATGAAAAATAGAAGGGGGATTTCCTAATAAAGAAAATCGAGGAGCAAATTCTTCTTAAATTCTATATTTCTCTGATAAATAATACATTGGCACTTCTGATAAGGAACATGTTTACATACAGAAATGAATCAGTAGTTTATTAGACGGTCACCTGTTTATTAAGCAACAAATAAACTTCAGAATATAACCTAATAGTAAACATAGTTCACAAATGAGTGCAATAATCTCAGCATATCTGTTTTGTGATGGCCTCTGGGATTTTTTAGTAAACATGTTGAACAAAGAACATATGAAAAACAGAGCAACACACCAGAAATACAAGGATAAAGTTAAGTCTTAAGGCAGGGTTATGCTAAAAAAAAAATATTAGGTCTAAACAACTGCAGTGCTCAAACCAGAGTGTTAAAGGATTAAAAGAGGTATTTATACTCAACCGAAGATTTGCCATAACGAGACAAGCTCCTATTTTGTCTTATATGCACGATGAGAATAAAATATCTTATGTTTGTATGCTGTTTTGGCCTGTTTTTATATTTAACTCCGCAAAATGTAATTTTTCCTGCATTCTCCATTTATTCCAATGATTTAATAAAACAAAATCAGAGAGATCATGAATTACTAATGCAATGTGAAATTATTTTAATGCTTGCAGATTTTGGAATAAGGATCCATTCAGTTTTACTTGTAATAAATCAAATTATCACATATATATATGCAACAAGCGCCTTGAATTTTTATTTCTTAAGATGACCTTGGATAAGCATAATAAACTGATCATCTTTTAAATGTGATGACATTTTCTGTAGGGTACCAGCTTGATTAAAAGTTCACATTGAAACACACAGAAAGACATTAAATATTTTGTTACTGTTTCTTTATTTATGTTCTTATTAAATTACATAATGATCACCATGCTTACCATGCAGGAACAAGGTCTCTGTATGCATAATGTATTTTAACTGTGAAGAGTTGTGTTACGGTATGAGCAGAGCTAAACGTATTTTGAAAAATATTTTCTTACATTCATATTCTAGATATAAGCTATAATGCTTACTTTACAAAACAATCCTTAAATGTGCAAAAAATGCAAATGCAATGATTATGCTTTATATGTTTTTAGCTGGTTAATGTCAGGTTACAATGTTTGCTACAGTGTGCACGCTGTTCAAATGATCTAAAAGCCTGCAAAGCCCAATATTACATTACATACATACTATTCTTACAAAACATTCAAAGAAAAGGAGGAAAAAAACAACCAGTCACTCTTGTTAAGGCATGTTTTCCTAGCATTTTACCTACAAACATGGAAAATTCTTACTGAAATTGCACATCCTTTTCTGATTTGCTAAAGCAGTTTTTCATCTAATCCACTGTTCTAGCGCTAGGAAGTGTGAGTTTGAAGCTATAGGTCACATTTATACATTGATCTTCAAACCAAAATCCATGCCGCATTTCTTTTTAAATAAACAGTCCATTTCATTTCTGGATGATATATTTACAGAAACTTTGTCTGATGAAGTAAGCTGCTGCTACAGAAAACTTTGAAAAAGCCATATGAGATGCTCAGCTGTTAGAATGTTTCAATACTTTTCTCTTTAAAGACAAAATTAAAGGCTGTCTGGTCTGATTATTGTATCATATCACCTGTAAATGAACCCCTTTCACCTTGAAATAAATGTGACCGATTGTGATGCACCATGTGTTTTAAAATCCATCATCTTTCTCTGTCACATGCACCTATCAAATCCCATCAAATAGGGAGTAGTTTCAAATGGTGAACAGACCCATGATTAGATTCTATAGGGAGGGGAACTGGTTGTTTCAGTTTGAGTGGATTTTTTTTTTTTTTTTACTCAGTCATTAATTCATGCATTAATAACAGAAGTTCACACAGAAGCACGTTTCCCACCAACTTAGAGAATTCAATTTAAATATTAAGAAAGCTGGTGGAAATACTGCTTTAATATTTCACAAAAGTTTAAGGATCTTTTTTTTTTTTTTTTTCGCAATTCTTAACAAGCTGATGCAGGAACGTAAACGTTGTTATATTCTGAAACCTGATATCTCAATGGTTTTGGTTGTTTTCTACCTTTTCATATGTATAGATTTCTTTTTACTGAGCTCCCGCCCTCAGACCAATACCAAAATAACTCATTCACAAGCTCCATTATTAGTTTATAGTGTGCATTTTCAGTCAGTCTTTATGGCTCGGTTCCTATAACTAGAATAGGTTACAAAGTCAGGGAGGATAGAGGCGACTAGCAGGAGGAGAGGAGAAAAAAGACAATCAGGCTTCTAGACGTTTAGTTTGTTTGATGATGGGGGTGTAACCCCTATGAGCTTCGAGTCTGACAACGGACTGACAACCCCCCGTATCAGGTTCTTGTTGCAGTCGCCCATCGTGGTCTCTGAGGGAAGCTTTGCGTGCGTTACGCTCCCTGTCAGGTCCATCAGGTCCTTAAGAGCCTGGTTGTGGGTCATAAAACTCTGGTGAATATCTTTATCTGGTGAGTACTCAGGAATAGATATCAGCTCTTCCTTTGAAGCTGGACTGAAACACAGAGTGAGAAAACATTAGCCTCCTAAATATTCAAAGTTTTAAGCATCTCACTCAGCACTGTTCAAACCCAACTTAGAGCCTTCAAAGACCTGGTCTTTGATTTTACAGGCAAGGAGAACAATAATGAGAGAAACAACCAGGAGTCCCTTGGTAGCTTTGGAGCAGCTGCAGATGTTATTAGCCTAGGTGGAAGAATCTATTTTCTTGAAAAATCTGTGGTTTTGTGGTAGAATTACCAGAAAACAGACATGTTTAAAAGAAAAGCACAAGATGAATTTGTTGTTTGGCCAAAACCAATAGGAGACAGGACACTTGTGGAAGGTGGACTTCTATCACATCTGACCAGTATTGATATGAATGTAAGATGTAACACTGTGCATCACCCTGAACATCACATTTGCAAGGTGACACACAGTGGTGGCACAGTCATGATGTGGGGATGCTTTTTTTCATTGCAATCGTTGAAAAATGAGGAGATGGGTTGAGCTAAAGCTAGACATTGAGCTAAAGCTTATGTGTAAAGCTAGTTTAAGCTGTTCTATAAAAACAAAATGTATTTAAGCTTGTAGTTCTAAAGCGACAAATGTGAAAGAAGTTCAACAAGGCACCCTATGTGAGGGCTTACCTAACATCCATGGATTGCACCTCATCACCGGATCCTGCTTGTTTCACATCTAATGGCTCCAGCTTGATGACTGGTGGGGGTAAACGTGCAACTGGTACCACTGTCACAGAGGGTCTACCACCTCCATCATCTGGCCCCTTTTTCACCTTTCCCTCAGCTGAGAGAGACACACTGCTTTGCTGTGTGCCTCCTTTAGGAATTGTTAAGGCACTTTCTTCCCCCTTCACCGCTCCATTCATCACCCTCCCCTGTCTTTCCATTACTTTGACGTCTCCTGTTGACTCAGTCAACTCTTTGTAGGTTTGTGTGGAGATTTTGACATTAGTTTTGTGCTGCTTGTTCAGATTCAGGTCCGTCTCTCTTCCCTGCTGCTTGAATGCACTGGTGTTTACCTCTCTGTTGAGTTGACTGCCACCGTTCTCTTTACTGGTTTGTTTTTTCTCAGGTCTCTTTTCAGAAACACCGTGTGTCTGTGTGACCAGATGACTGTTGTTTTGAATTTGTTTACCCTTCTCACTGTCCGCCTGTGCTGCTGCTGCTTCTTTCTTGAGGAAAACACTTTCCTTTGTCTGAATCTGCTCTGTTTTTTGCTCTGCTACCTGAAACTCAACCTTTTTGCTTTGGTGCTTGATGACACGAGCTTTGGTAATTACATCCCCTGTGAAAAATACAAAAACATTACAGTGGACTTGAAATGTCACCGGAAATCTGTTTGATCTACAAAGGTGACCAAAAGCAGGATCAAGAGCAGCCTTTGTCATGGGAAAC